TGTGTGTGACATCATGTGAAACGGCCTCTCTCAACACTTGCATGTGTGAAATGGTGTGAAACCGCGTGTGTGTGAACTTGCGTGTGAACCTGCGTGTGTGTGACATCATGTGAAATGGCCTCTCTCAACACTTGTGTGTGTGAAATGGTGTGAAACCGCGTGTGTGTGACATCATGTGAAATGGCCTCTCTCAACACTTGGAGGTGCTAAGACCGTCGTGTAATCTGCACCTGTGTGTAAATGGCCACGTGTTTCACACTCAGCATCAATTCACGCTGAGAACATAGAACCCCAGATCCTGGCAGGGACGGTGCTGGCTGTCCCCATGGGGTCTTCAAAGGCAGCTCACTGAGAAGGGAGCGTGTGGCCCCTGCCTCCCTCCCTTCCTCTCCCACGAGGAGATGGAGTGCTCTCTGCAGGTGGCTTGCTCCCTGGCAGGGCAGCATCAATACTGTCTTCTGTGAATTAGGAGCTAGAGCCATGATTTCTAAACCAACATGGAATTATTACTCATCACTGTAATTAGCTCTTGACCTCAGCAATACAGCTGATGAAGATCAGCAGATCATAGCATCTGTCTTGGCATCTTTCTAGAATTATTCATGTTTATTATAAAAAACCATTTTCTATTGCACACCTGCAATATTTAGACTTTAAGTTCACAGGTAGGTCAAAAGTGAAAGATTGAAAAGAATATAACTTACAAATACTAATCCAAAGACAACTTGGGTAGCTATGTGGAAGGCAGATAAGACAGACTTGCAAAAGGCACGATTAAAGAAAAGAAATGCACTTCACAATAAAAAAGGCTTAAGTCAACAAGGAATACTTTACTTCTCTAATCTGCAGGCACCCAGTGAATTGGATTTCAAATGTATCAGGAAAAGTGGTAACATGACTGAAAGGAGAAACCTGCAAATCAACACTTCTGGAGTGAGATGCCGACCTACCCCTTTCAGCAGCTGATTTACAAGCAGATAAACTATCAGTAAGGATACAGAAAATCTAAACAATACAATTAGTGGAGTTCATGGATGGCCACTCCCAATATAACAGTGTTGACTCTTTTTTTTTCAAGTGAACTTATAGCACTTAGTTAAATTAAACATAGGCTACTCATTAAGATAACCTTACCAATTTTGAAAAAATTAAAACTCACAGTATATAATATTAAAGGACAGGGGAACTAAGCTAAAAACTAACAACAAAAAGTACTAGAAAATAACTAGCTAAAAATTAATAACATAATTTGATAATTTTTCATCAAAAGAAGAAGTCAAAAAGAAAATTAGAAAATATTTTACCCCATTTGACAGTGTGGGCCTGATATATCAAACCAGAATGCAGGTAAAGCAGTACGCAAAGGATATTCATAGCCTCAGATGCACATGATAGAAGAGAAGAATGGCTTAAAGTCCGTAAGATTCCGTCTCAACAAGCTGAATAAAGCATTGAAAATGAAACTTAATCGAAGTGGTACAGGACAGGCAAGCCTCAAAATTGGGGCTTGGCCCAGGCGGGTTCTTGACTCATCAGGAAAGAATGCAAGTGTAAACTGGTGTGTTAGACAGCAACTTTTATGGAATGGTATGGCTTTTTGTGGAGCAGCGCTAACTCATAGACAGTGTAGCCAGAGCTGGCAATGTATGGACTCTTGGCAACTGTATTTGTGCTCAATTATATCCTATATCAATGACAGGTAAATGAAGGAGCAGGTTAATGCAAATTAAGGACTGTCTTATTTAGAACTTTCTAGGAAAGGGGTGGTAACTTCCAGGTCACTGGGAGGGAAAGGGGAGGTGACTTCTGGGCCATTTTCATGGCATCTGTAAACTGTGACGGTGCAGCAGGCCACGTCCCATGTTCATGAGCAGTGAGAGCAGCCGGGTGACCCCTCTCACCATCTGCTGGGCCCTTGATCTCATCCTCTCTGGACTACCCCTTGTTTTGGTCAGCAAGGGCGTGGCCAGAACACATGCCCTGCCAGTCTCCAACCTCAGAAGCAGGTGATAAGATAGAACCGGGAACCAGTAACATAGAAAACAAATGTATTAAAAAAAAATCTTTAATGGCCAAAGTGAGTTATTTCACACAAAAACATACATACGTTTGATAAACTCCTATCAAGGCTGATCAAGAAGAAAAACATATAATTCATATGTGAAATAAACCAAGGAGCATGATGACAAATTCTCAGGCATCAAAATGCAATGAGGGTACTGTGAATACATTCAATCCAATAAACTAAACAATTTAAAAGAAATGGGCAAAGTCCTAACACAAACATGACTTAGCAAACTGAGAGAAGAAGAATGAGAAAGTCTCAGCAGTCTAGTATCGTTAACTAGCAGAAATGTTATTAAGATACAAAAAAAAGGTAAAAGTTTCTTCATAAATTCCAAATGATTTCATCAGTGATTTTTTTAATACTTAGGAAGTAATATCACAATCTGACAACTTTTTCCAGGAAACTGAGAAAAAGGAAACATTTTAAACTGTTTTTCTGAATCTAGCAATAGCTTGAGACCAAAAGCTGACATTAACATAGCAGGAGAGAAAAATTACAGAGAGTCTCCTTCCTGAACACAGATCCCACCATCACCGAGAAATGCCTGCAGACAGTATGGATAATATTTGAAAAGGACAGGGTCCAATAAAACAATCCTCTACTTCACAAAATTCATGGCAAAAATAACAGAAATGCTTTCATAATCTTGATAGTTTTAAAAACAGGATTTGATAAAATTCATTTCCCATTTGTTGATTTAAAAAACCATCAGTGGCTGGGCATGGTGGCTCACATATGTAATCCTACCACCTTAAGAGGCTGAGATGGGTGGATCACCTGAGGTCAGGAGTTCGAGACCAGCCAACCAATGGCCAACATGGTGAAACCCCATCTACTAAAATACAAAATTAGCCAGGTGTGGTGGTGCAAGCCTGTAATCCCAGCTACTTGGGAGGCTGAGGCATGAGACTCACTTAACGCCAGGAAGTGGAGGTTGCAGTGGCTGAGATCGTGCCACTGCACTCCAGCCTGGGGGACAGTGAGACTCCATCTCAAAGAAAAACAACAAGGTGGAATAACTTGTGTTTTAGGTGTCACAAAATCCAGGCCAGACAAATCTAAACTTTAATGTCACACACAGTTCCTAGGTTAGTCCCTTCTCCAGCTGGAGTTCAGCCTAAGCCTCAGAGGTCCTTAGTTGGGGGGGCACCACCTGCTCCCTTCCCCACCTTTGTCCCTGTTTTATCCCTGCTGGCTCCTTCGGGGTTGGGTGTGTTCAGAGGCAGAGACAGGCTAAAGGTCTTTGGCTTTTAGGTTCTGTTCATGGGTAAGTTCCAAATACTGCCTTTCTTTTGTAGCGTATTTCATTTATTTATGTATTAAGAATATTTATTTAGAACATACCATTCACATGCCAGACACTGTTCCAGGCAGTGGGGGTAGGGTGATAAACGAGATCAACAAAAATGCCTGCCCACCTTAAGTTCCTACTCTAGGGAAGACAAAAAGGAAAGAAAATACACGTGTACTTAGTACATTGCAAGGTTCCGGCTGGGTGTGGTGGCTCACGCCTGTAATCCCAGCACTTTGGGAGGCCAAGGCAGGTGGATCACGAGGCCAGGAGTTCAAGACCAGCCTGGCCTATATGGTGAAACCCCGTGTCTATTAAAATATATGTATATATGTAATATACATACATAGATGTTTATATATAATAATACACTGGGTATGGTGACGTATGCCTGTAATCACAGCTACTCAGGAGGCTGAGGCAGGAGAATCGCTTAAGCCCAGGAGTTAGAGGTTGCAGTGAGCCGAGATCCCCCCACTGTGCTCCAGCTGGGGCAATAGAGTGAGACTACTGTATAGAAGAATAAAGCAGGCTGGACTTGGTGCCTCATGCCTATAATCCCAGCACTTTGGGAGGCTGAGCTGGGAGGATTATCTGAGCTCAGGAGTTCGACACCAGTCTGGGCAACATGGCAAAATCCTGTCTCTATAAGAAAAAAAAAAATTAGCTGGGTGTAGTGGTGTGTGCCTCTGGTCCCAGATACTGGGGAGGCTGAGGAGGGAGGATTGCTTGAGTCTGGGAGGTGAAGGTTGCAGTAAGCCAAGATTGTGCCGTTGGACTCCAGCCAGGGTGACAGAACCAGACACTGTCTCAAAAGGAAAGAAAGAAAAGAAAGAAAGAAAGAAGAGATGGGAGGGAGTGGGAACCCAAGTTAAATGAAATTTCTAATGGGACCAGAAGATCCATTGCTGATTCACATAACAGTGATTATTTAGAACTCTCTTCCTTTCTTGCAGGCTCTCTTAATCTCTGTCAGCCATTCACCTTTATGACCTTGCCTTATCTACCAGAACATAGATCCCTATGACTAAAAGTAGCATTGTGTTACAGGCCCCAGCAGGGAATGTTTTCAGTTCTTCTGAGACCCCTCTAATCAAAACTGTCACAAGGATGTCATTGGCACAAACGCTTTCTAAGCAGTCCTGGAATTAGACTCTGGCCACAGAGATCCCTTAGGAGACATGAGTCCTTCCATTGCCAATTGCCTGTTCTGTGGGGGATCCTAATTGTTCAATGCTGATCAACTTACTTATGACATATAATTGGATAGATAGTAAATATCCAAACTTAGGAGGTTATATGAGGTTTGTAAAAGAGGTGGATTCTAATTAAGTAAAAAGTTGTATAATGTTAGAAGTTTGAATGTATTTGGTAATAGTCTGTGCAAAGTAAAAGAGCTATCTTAAATTTTCAATCTGATAAAATGAACGCTTGCCTGCTAGGGATAATTTCATAAGGACAAAATTAGTCAAACGCTTGTTTTATTGCTTAGCAGGATCTGATCTGCAAAATATTTTTTAAACAATTTTATCTTTAGTGTTTCTGACACAAGGGCTGCACAGGAAGCATATGATAACAGTTACTTAAGATTATATATATGAAGTAAAAACACATAGCTAGAACCTGTCCTCGTCTGAATATAATTGCTCGGTTAATTTTTTCTCTTGCGTAAGAAATCACCTTGAATGTTCTCATGTAATATGTAAAGTGGGGAAGGTGGTAGATAAACATAACCCATTGGATTCTCTTTTCCAATACCTTGATTAGATCCTGCGCTGAAAGAGACACCAAGAAAAAAGATGGCATTCCAGAAGAAGAAAAAGGAAATGTAAAACAGTGTGAAATCAATTATGTGTATGTCTTCTTTTTCTTTTAGACCCACAGATTTGACAGTGAACTGCTTTTCAACGTGCTTTCAAAATAAATAACCGAATTAGGTGGGGATGGTGGTGCATGCCTGTAGGCCCAGCTACTCGGGAGGCTGAGCCAGGAGGATTGTTTAAGCCCGGGAGTTCAAAGCTGAAGTGAGCTCTGATCACCACTGCATTCCAGCCTGGGTGACAAAGCAAGACCTATCTGAAAAAATTAAAACTGTGGGACAAGAAGAGGCAGCACAGTGTAGCCTCTAGGACAGAGCACTGAGCTAAATGTTTTTCTCAAGACTTCAGTTTTCCTCATCATCCTACCAGCTCTCAAAGCTAAAGTCATTTGGGTTAGTCAATCACAGAATGGCTGTGATGCCAGTCAAAGACTGTGCTATGGCCAGGACACGGGACTCCAGCCAGCACGCCCTGACAGCAGTGGGGCCTTGTGGTGCTACCCAGTCAATGAGTGGTTCTCCTCTTGAAGGGTTATGAAGGTCATCCTTGTCGTTGAAAAGCTACAGCTTATTAAAAACCTACAATTAGACATTTTTAATAAGTGAAAAAGAAATTGACAGTGTTTATAAATTTAATAGAAATATGTATAATCAGAGTTTGAAGTATTTTCCAATGAAGACATCTTCTTTACAGAAAGAAATTTCAGAGCTTCCAAGACCACAAACTTAAAATAAGTAAAGGAGACAGTAAAATTCTTAAAAAAAGGCTCAGAAAGGTGGATTTTTGCATGAGACGTTTCCAGACAGGTAGATCTTTATTTACTTATTTCCAACTATTTTCAGTAGCCAATAGGAGTGGCATGTAAAAAACCTGTGTTCTCTTAAATTACTGTAGTTTTCATATTTTGTCTTTATTTCTAATTTATGAATGTGGCAATATTACCTAGAGAGGACATCATAAGTCTGGGGAAGGACTGTCAAAAAAGAACGAGTGAAAATTATAACCTATTCTAAGTATATATGTTAAGAAATTCAGGTTTGATTGTATCTGCTTCATAAATTTATTGTCTTTTTATAACTATTAGAACCAGAGTTAGAAAGAAACATTTTGACTGATATAAAAATGCTGTAGATTCTGTTAGAGTAACTCAGTTTCCTTAAAGTCAGAATAGATCAGCTGAGAAACTAGGTTAGAAAAGCTAAACAAGTGGGATTGAAGCAGTTTCATTGTAAGATTTGGAAGTGTGCAGGATGTTCATCCCAGCACGTTATTAATACTTATTGCCCTGGAAGTGTGTACGATGTTCATCCCAGCATGTTATTAATACTTATTACCCTGGTAGCGTGCAGGATGTTCATCCCAGCGCGTTATTAATACTTATTACCCTGGAAGTGTGCAGGATGTTCATCCCAGCGCGTTATTAATACTTATTACCCTGGAAGCGTGCAGGATGTTCATCCCAGCACGTTATTAATACTTATTACCCTGGAAGCGTGCAGGATGTTCATCCCAGCGCGTTACTAATACTTATTACCCTGGAAGCGTGCAGGATGTTCATCCCAGCGCGTTACTAATACTTATTACCCTGGAAGTGGGCGGGATGTTCATCCCAGCGCGTTACTAATACTTATTGCCCTGGAAGCGTGCAGGATGTTCATCCCAGCGCGTTACTAATACTTATTACCCTGGAAGTGTGCAGGATGTTCATCCCAGCGCGTTACTAATACTTATTACCCTGGAAGTGGGCGGGATGTTCATCCCAGCGCGTTACTAATACTTATTACCCTGGAAGTGTGCAGGATGTTCATCCCAGCACGTTATTAATACTTATTGCCCTGGGAGTGTGCAGGATGTTTATCCCAGCACGTTATTAATACTTATTGCCCTGGAAGTGTGCAGGATGTTTATCCCAGCGCGTTATTAATACTTATTACCCTGGAAGTGTGCAGGATGTTCATCCCAGCACGTTATTAATACTTATTACCCTGGAAGCGTGCAGGATGTTCATCCCAGCACGTTATTAATACTTATTACCCTGGAAGTGTGCGGGATGTTTATCCCAGCACGTTACTAATACTTATTACCCTTCCTGTGTAGGTAAGTGATGTCCTAGGTTTACAACACAGTGGTAGAAATGATTAGCTGTGAGTGTACGAGTATAAGTCAGTTAAGTGCCAGATTTTGATAATCACCAGCCACTCATTCAGGTCCTGTGTTGCAAAGTTACCTTCACCCTTTTTTACATTATTTGATAAAGGGAATGTTTAATTATATATTTCCTATTAACTAGTTGGTAGAGTGCATACCTAAAGTCAGTAAATAATGTTAAGAATTTTTTCTAGCTGAGAAAATGAATATGTATCTAGTTCTAAGAAATCAAGAAGTTATGAAATATAATCAGGAAGTAGACTCTAAAACAGAATAAGCTCTATGTCCTTATAACTTTTATCACTTGCAATAATACAATATTGTCACCCTGTTAAATGGAAATTTAGAGGACACTTAAATTCAGAAATAATTAAAATTGCTATTCTGGATTGAAAAAGCCCTTAGGCAACATTTATTGAATATTAGGAAATACCTTTTATAAATTTAGAATCAATTTTTTATAGAAATTAAAGTTAAAAGTATGCATATTTTAATGTGTTGTGGTAATAAACCGAAATTGAGCAGTTTTAAAAGCTTTTTACATTTAGTAGCAGTTGAATATATATGCCATGTTTTACATAGATTAATTTTATTATTTTTCTTTGTTTAAATAGGAGAGCCAAATTGAAAGCTGACAGATACTGCAAATGACTTGAGATTTTTGTTTCTGCCTTATCTTTTGTGTTTTTTTTTCCTAAATAAAATATTCAGAGGAAATGCTTTTACAGAGTTCTTGAGTTGTTGTGAAATTATTGTTTAACTAGTAGCTAGTTGAACCAGGATTCAACAAGTTTAACCAAGATTCTTTGTGGATGAACTTTTTAGCTGACTACAGGTTTTCACATGGAAATGAAATTTACAGTACACACTTAACGTACCACAGAATTTTTTTCTGGATTTCCTGTCCTGAAACATGAAGTGTATTAGTCTAAGAAATCAGTTCTTCCTGTGCTCCTTGTGGAACCTGTCGTATTTCATCGTGATCTTACTTCACTTGATACAAACAATAGATGCTTCATCAGCGCCTTTAAGGAAGTTAGAGCCATCCTGGTCAACATGGTGAAACCCCGTCTCTACTAAAAATACAAAAACTTAGCTGGGCATGGTGGCGCGTGCCTGTAATGCCAGCTACTCAGGAGGCTGAGGTAGGAGAAATGGCTGAACCCAGGAGGCGGAGGTTGTGGTGAGCGGAGATCGCGCCATTGCGCTCCAGCCTGGGTAACAAGAGCGAAACTCCGTATAAAAAAAAAAAAAAAAAAAAAAAAAGAAATTCCCAATCCCATCAACAAGGCCTTGATTCCACCTCCTAAGGGCTACCCAGATCACAGACAATCCAGGCAAATATCAGAACTAGGGGGCTGGGCAGAGAGAACAAATCATCTGTTAGGGAGTGGGACGGAAAGTGGAAACATTACAGAAGAGCAAACAGGCTCAAAACAGTGGGGAGAGCGTAGTACTGGGGAGACTCCCTAATGAGGACAGGTCTGCTGCAGATCCTGGATATGTGTGTGTGATGTTTCTGTCCTCACTAGTGGGCTGGAATGGAGGCTGATGAAGTTCAGACACTAAGTATTGCTCAGAACTGCTTTGTTGAAGCCTGTTTGTGAGTATCCTAAACACAGTATTCCGGTGGGATCTGATCCCAATGAGTGGTCCAAACCCAGGTTGGGTATCAAGTGCCACGGGAAGTTCTACGTCAGGACTGAGGTTGTTTCAGGCATCTGGATGTTGTCAAAAGTCCACACTGTGACCTGGCCTAATTGGAAAGACCCTATCTAGTTCTACCCTTTAAATTCCATTTGTCCCCAAATCTAGAGTTACATGGCATCTGTACAAGCTCGGTGGCTGAGCCACGGGATCAGCCCTCTGAAGGAGCTTTTGTTGTAGGTCTAGCTCCAACTCCAGTTCCAATAGCTGGACATTCTTTCATCTGCGTTCTGATCCTTGGATTGGGAACAAGGTTACTGATCTGATCCCACAAAGCCGTGGTTCTGGTTCCCAGCTGGTTACTATTTTGCCTCCCAGGGGACATTTTTGGTCCTTCCAGGTGGTCAGGCGGTCCCCCATCCAAGCCTGAGCAAGGCCTGACGCTGCTTAGCTTCCCAGCCGAGGAGCCCTCAGGCTGCGATGGCGTTCAGAGACTTCAGAGACAGACCCCTCAGGGAGGTCCTGGGCCATGGCAGGGTCTCAGGCAGGGAAAAGGCCTGGTCAGAGAGTTGGGGGTGGTTGGAAAGCCTTACAATCGGGGGAAATTGGGAGGGAGCAATAAGCCAAAAGCCTTCAGCCTGCTGTACCCCCAGTCAGTCCCACATCCAATCTCCAGCCAGGTGTGACCCTGCTCTGCTCCCGGGCTGGAACACCCTCAGGTTGCTATGACACCCAGGGTCTACAGGGACAAATTTTTACCAGGAGGTTCTAGGCTGCAATGGGCTTGCAGGCTGATGGAAAACAGGGGGCCAGAGTCAGGGAGCAGTTGGGAAGCGTTGCAAGAAGCAAAGAAAAGTGAAAAGGCAGCGGGAAGTTAAAAGCCTCCAGTCCCCAGTTTCTCTAGGCAGCCCCCATCCAAGCCCCAGCCAGGCTTGACCCTTCTTAGCTTCCATGCTTTGGCCCCGACAGGGTGCTATAATGCCTGAGGGCTGCTGGGCAGATCCCCAAAAGAATGTGTGGGGCTTCCATGGGGGCACAGGCAGGCGGAAAAAAGTAGGGGGAGGCAGTGAGTCAGGGGCGGTTGGGACAAGTAGGGAAAACCAGAAGGGGAAAGTCAAAAGCCTCCAGCCCTTGCTGTCCCCAGGTTGTCCCCCATCCAAGCTCCAAGGTCAAACAAGTCTGACCCTGCTGAGCTTCTGGGCTGGGGTGCCCTCAAACTGCTATGGTGCCAGAGTGTTGATATTTACTTGGGGTGGCTGAGAAAATATTAAATATTAGGGAAAATTATAGATTATAATCTCAAACCTTTTGGAAGGCCAAAAGGTTTTATTGAGGCAAGCTGAATGCAGCCTGCCCCCCCACCCCGCCAAGGACAAGTACCTTTCCATGCGTGTCTGTCTCAAGAGTCCCCTTGTGAGATGTCAACCACCACTGGTGGAAGTCTGGCCTGCGGACCCTGACTTAACGACGATGAATGATGCACTCTCACACCATTACAGTGATTTAAGTGGGCATGGGATGGCCGTTGGCTGCTTTCAGAGGGCAAAACGCAACCAATCGACCAAGACCCCCTGTTCTTCCACACTTTGATTCCCCTAGATTTTACAACAGAGGCTCTAAGTTAACACACTTGTAGATAATTAACATGGTTAAGAGAATGGTTTTACTACTGACGAAATCTTTAGGTTCTGGGGCTCAGAGTAAACACTATTAACAGTAATTTGCCTTCAATCTTCCCCTGAGGGGCCACCCAGCACAAAGTTTACATGAGTAAACAGTGGAGACAAAGGGATGTGGGGTAAACAGACATAAACTGGGGAGGCCTTTGATGGTCTTTCTCTCTTTGCTATGCTGATGTTGACAGGGTGGCTGCCTTCAGCAAGCCTCAATAAAATTTTTGTCCTTCCAAAAGTTTTGAGATTACAATCTATAACTTTTCCTAATGTTTAATGTTTTGCCAGCCACCCCAAGTGAATATCATTATCTCCCCATTTTTCTTTTCAACAGTATCAGGTTTTGCTGTCTTCCAGCCACTGATTCCTTCAGCCGTGGGTCAGTCAGGTGAGGGGGTTCTTGCTTTTATTCCTGCTTTGCCTTTTAGGATTAACAAACAGCACAAGACAATTATGAGTATAATTAGCAACAGTCTTTTCCAATCAAAGACTGACTCCCAAAGCTTGTCCCTTGTGCCAATGCTTCCCAACCAATCTGAGACTCACTGGATGTTACTTTTCCACCCGAAGGCGCCACCACAGCAGCAGGGGACATGCTTGTGGAGGTCTGCGTGACACCCTGAGAGGGCCCCACATGGATGCTAAGTAGGATTGAGCCTGGTGGGGGCTTGGATGGGGAGGTTGCCTTGAAAGACAGGGGACTGCAGTATTCCCCCCATTTTCACTTTCCCCTGGTTGTTGCAACACTTCTCAGTGAACCCCAACTCTCTGGCCAGCTATTTTCCACCTGCATGGGCCCCTACCTTGGCCAGGGACCTCCCTGAAGGGGTCTGTCTCTGAAGTCATGGAACTCATTCACAGCCTGAATGCACCTCAGCCGGGAAGGTAAGCAGGGTGGGGTCTGGCTTTGGCTTGAATGGGGGCCAGCCTGGAAACATGGGGGCTGGAGGATTTTGGCATCTGGTTACCTTTTCGATTTCTCCTGCTTCTGGCAAAGCTTCTCAACCACCCCCTGACATTCTGGCTATCTCTTTCCCACCTGTGCGTGCCTGCAGCCCTGCTGTGTTTTGAGTCTTCCCCGAGGGTTCTGTCTCAGCAGCCCTTGAGTGCCACAGCAGCCTGAAGGCGCCCCAACCGAGATGTAAAGCAGGGTAGGACCTCAGTGGGGTTTGAATGGTGGGCTGCTTGGGGAAACTAGGGGCTAGAGGCTTTCGGCTTCTCTCTCCCTCCTGGATTTTTTTGCTTGTCAAAACGCTTCCAAAACACTGGCTAACTCTCGGACCTTTCCTTTTCAGCCCGCCTACTCCCTCAGTGGCCAAGGACCTCCCAGTGGGGATTCATCATGGAATCTCCCAGGCACAATAGCAGCTAGAAGTCACCCGGAACAGAGCTCAGCAGGGTGGGACTCGCTGGGGCCCTCCCGCTCCCTTCCCACATTCTTCTGCTTGTCACAGTGCTTCCCAAATGATCCCTGACTCTCTGGCCCCTTCTTTTTCCTCCACGTGCAGCCCCCACTGCAGCCCAGATCTCCACATGAGGTTCATTTCAGCAGCTACCGCATGCCATAGCAGCTCGAGGGCTCCCCAGCCCAGAACTGAGCAGGGTCAGGCCTTGCTGCTACTTGTATGAAGAACCGTCTGGGGAGACTGAGGGCTGGAGGCTTTTGGCTTTTAGCTCCCTTTCCACTTTCCCCACTTGTCACAATGCTTCCCAAATGCACTTGTATTTCCTACCCCCGCAGCAATTCTGGACCTCCTCGTGGGGCTCTGTCTAGGCAGCCCCAACACCATAACTGTCTGAGAGGGGGCAGTTGTGAACCGTTGTGACAAGGCGGGAAAGCGGGTAAAGAGCAGAAAGCCGAAATCCTCCAGGCCCGGTCTTTCCACCCAGTCCCCCATCCAAGCACCAACCAGGCTCAATCCTGCTTAGCTTCCCGGCTGGGGCACCCTCAGGCTGCTATGGCGACTGGGGGCTGCCAAAATGAACCCCCCAGGAAGTCCCAGCTTGAGGTGGGTGTGCAGGTGGGCAGGAAACAAGAGGTCAGAGAGTCAGAGGGCGGTTGGGAAGAGTTGCCAGAGGGGGAAAGCGGGAAGTGAGCGGGAGGCCAAATGCCTCTGGCTTCCCCAGACGGTCCCTTATCTCAGCCCCAGCCATGTCCTACCCTGCTCGGCTTCCAGGCCCCTATGCCAACCTGGGTCAGCTGGCACGGACCCCCACAGGAAGGCCCCAGTCTGTGCTGGGGGCGCAAGTGGGCGGGAAACTGTGTCCAGAGAGTCCAGGGGCGGTTGAGGAGTGTTGCGAGAAGTGAGGGAAAGAGGGAAAAGAACGGGGAGCCAAAAGTCTGCAGTCCCGGTCTCCCCAGGGGGTTCCCCATGCAAGCCTCGG